AAGTTAACCATCAATAACCCCCTTATTAGATAACAAAAAGTATTACAAGTAAAACTAATCTTGATATTTGAATGTGTTCCTGTGTTGTGTAACAGGTCAGAGGTCAGGATGTCCTACAGGTTTCCCCCCCCCCCCCCCCCCTCCTGCTGCCTCGTGTTTCTCCACACACACTGCACAGAGGGATGGAAGAGGACTGGGCTTGGATATGATAGCTCGACCTCACTCTGATCGGCTGTGACACATCGCTTAAAATCATCTGTTAGAAAACGCCTGAAGCCGCTCCTTCATCTCTGAGATACGCAGCAGATGCAAATCAGCTCAGATGTTTGAGGGCTTTTGAAATTTAAATTTTATAGCATTTATTTTTAACGTATTTGTCTTCTGGATGAAGGCTGCTGGGATAAGTCCTTTATAGATTAGAAAAGGAGACACACACACTGTAATAAGATCGGACAAACAGAGGCAGAAACACACACTTTACATTTCGAGGATATTTAAAAAAACATTAAATGAGATGCTCTGAATTTAATCAGTTGTTTTTCTTCTTCAGATACAAGTCATTAAGGACTCGAGCAAAACAAAACTTCACACCCTCATCGGTTACATCTCACTGCAACAAAGAAATGAGGTGATCTGGTGTCACGGACTACGCTTACATGCATTCATATATTCCACTTTTAATCCAAATATGATCATTTTAAGAATTTGATAAGGACATATAATCAAAAATGAGTCCCTTTCCAAAAGAGACATGTAGGAGATGGCAATAATATTCAGGTTTAAGGGTCATTTTTTGTAACGATAAGTGGACTAATCAAGATTTCTGCTTAGATACCACTTTGAATTCAGATTTTCAGTTATTTGTCATATTCTCATTGTTTTTTCCTTTGGTTTTATGATAGTTGTATCCTTGTATGTGGAAATGTGTTTGGTAATAAAGCAAATCTGATTATTTTAAGTCGATTGACAAAAATAATCACATTTCTAGTCATTTTTCATGCAAAAATGACTTGAAATGCTGTTTTCAGCCTCTCAAATAGAGGTATTCCGATTGTTCGCTCTTTTATATGACATTTAAGTCAATATCTTTAGGTTTAGGTCTGACAAAATGTGTTGCTAGGTGATGCTGGTTTATTACTTAATACCTTTTTTTGTCATTTTTATGGGTTTTTTCTGCTGCAGGCTTACTTTCATATATTCTTCCATAAGTCCACCACCGTCGGAAAACTTCTAAATAGTCATTTTTAGTAGCCATGAAAACAGCTTGGTAACCAGGAATATTGTATTATTTTAATTAAAGGTGGGGTATGTAATTTATTTCAGAAACACTTATATTCCATGGAATGCTCTTAACATCCAGATAGCAATGAATATCTGAAGTGCTTTGACAAAAAATCCATAAAAAAATGTCATCAGTGGAAGCTGTAGTACTGTAAAAAGCACGACCAATCATCTGAGCCGGCCCGGCTAAAATAACTGGATGGCCTACCTGCCTGTCAGCCTTCCATCTGTGCACAGACTTATCTGGTGCCCTCATTGGTCATGTGCGCGTTCGTGTGTGTTGGAGGAGGGGCTCTGTGAGGAAGTGGCAGATTTACTCCGGTTGTGTATTTTCAAATTCTAGCGCACTCAAGCTGGTTTCTCCATTCTTACCTACCCCACCTTTAAGGGCAATAAAACGTAGTCACTGTGCTTATGGTCAGAGGAGCAACGTGAGATCTGAGCTCCAGGTGAAGTTTATTTCCTGAGAGGACTCAGATCTGCACGTTTGGAAGAACCAGTGCCCATTTAGTTAACACCTTGAATTCACATTTCCCTCTTATGCTTATTTACTTTCCTGCTGATGGTTCAGAACTCATTTGTTGACACAAAGCAGGATATAAGCTCATTATGGAGATGCAGGAAAAACAGATTCAAAAAGGTTAAAATATTGAATGACTTTTTTGTTTAAAGGCAATGTGTTCTTTTGTTTATTCAGTAAGAGATTGTAAGCAAAATCATGGTATTGAAGGCATGAAAGTAAATAAAAACAAACACGATAAACAAATAAAACTCAGAATGGAGAAAAACATTTGCATAAAATATCACCAAATCTGGAAAAAATAAATATCCATGGCACATGTTATTATTGATGAGTCAACGATTCAACGATACCAGAAATTATTATTTGCATTTGAGTCTTTTAGCCATCATTTTTCTTACTATAATAACATTTGAAGGTATTTCTTGTGAATGTGGCATCGTTGCTAAAAAATAAGTTCAACAGACAGCTTGTAAATGACAGTGAAGAGATGATTTTTGGTAATCATTTTCTTACACAAATATACAATAAATAAACCAAAAGACAAATTATGAATTATAGAATTAAAATGTACCACTTGTTTATAGCCTATTATAAAATCAGCATTTCTCTACAAGGTTTGTCAGGCAATGTGCGAGGCTTGTGCTTCAGTTACAACAGTATGCCTTTAGAGATGAAAGGATAACCCATTTGAGCTTTTCACATCATCAGAGAAGACACCACAGACATGGGCAGCTAAACCTCTGATAAGATCCAAATGACTTGTTCCCCCCGACACTTTGCATCTCTCTGTACTTCTGTTTTAGCGACGTCGCTTCATTCACAGCAGTTTGTTGAAGACTGATGGCTTAAAAACTCTTTGAAAATAACCCAAATTGTAAAAAATCTAACATTAAAGAAATCCTCACAGGCTTGAAACGCATTTACAACTCTTACTTAATTAGGAATATTCTCTTTCCTCTCTTTACAACTTTGAAAATACGTTTTATACCGGCCTGAAAAAGGCATGTTCATGTTCTTTGCCAAGCTGTAGTAAGCATGCACTTAAATGAGTTATTAAAGGGATAGCTCACATCTTTTAAAGTGGGGTCTGATGTGGTGGAAATCAATCAATATCCTCACCTCTTTCCCTTGCTGTAAACACCACCAGACTCCATTGACAAAAACAGGACATTTTAGCATGCACAGGTCTACCGCTGCAAATATCTGTTATTTAGTTTGTGTTATTGTGATTTCAGGGTTTAAAAAAGGGTTCGTTTTCAATCACCCACAATAACACAAACACTAATGCATGGAGGAAGTAAATACCTGTGCTTTCAAAGCTAAAAATCACTGTTTTGGTCGATGGAGACCGGGCAATATATCAATATTATGTATGTTAGATTGAGGATATCCTGACATCGTAACATGACACAAGTGTTTGTTTGATTCCTTGTTTTAAAGGATGCATTACAGTAAAGTGATGTCATTTCCCAATTTGTGTCATTTATCATTAATGACAACCCAAATTGGTATTTTTTGATGATCTTTGACATCCTCCTGCCTCCATCATGTTTTATATCCATACAAATGATCATTTTTGACATTTAAGATTCTCTATGTTGTCATTTTCATATTTTTTAATCTCTAAACACATCATCTATTGCACATCAGTGTATCCTTGGAGGGATCCTTCCTCTTTTGCTCTCCTCAAGGTTTATTTGGGGAACTTTAATTGTACGCTGCGAGGACAGAGGGCCATATGCTGAACAGCCCCCAAAATGAATGTGTAATTTATGATAATGGGGCTATGTTATTATAAAATGACATTTTAAATGATTGATTGAAGTTATTAGATCCATTTCGTCATTAATCTTCCAGGATTTATTTGGGATTTGTACTTGAACGCTGCAAGAGTGGAAGGAGAGAGTGTCTTGTATGCTGAACACCCCGAAAAACTAATGTGTAATTTATGATAATGAGCTATTGATTGAAGTCATTAGACCCATTTGACTGACGTGTGTGATTGTTAATTGATGATATTTCGTAAACTCCACACAGCCCTCATTTAACCCCACATTAAAAACACCGAACTCTCCCTTTAATGAACAAAATATACAATCCCAATCTTTACTCTTTGAAATGCTGAAGGATGAGCAATGAGGATTAAAGGAGGTCGACACGAGAAGGAAAACCTCCTTCTATTCTGTGGCTTCGCAGAGCGCCGTTATTCTCATAGAGATTAAATTCCCCTCACTCTGCATCTCACTTCGAAGAGTGGGGGGGGGGGGCAGAAATACAAATAAAAACACACTGAAAGAGAGAAGCAGCTCTTCATTTAGCACAGTAAACAAGAAGCTTTGAAGTCAGCCATTTAAAATAGGATTTACATGAATAAATAAACGGTGTGAGCTCGTGAAATCGCACAGGAAGGCAGACACATTTTGACAGGGAATTATTAATAAATACCACCTTCTCCCTTTGTTCTGGGGTTTCTGCATTCTTTCATTTTTAGAGTTTATTCCAAGTATATGAATGTTGTTACTTGATGAGATGAAGAACAATGAGATTTATATTAAAACACCTTTTTATTGACGCAGTCGTTCACTTTGATGCCTCTCTGTTTCGGAAAAACTGCTTGGATGGACGATGACATATTTTTATATATGTGCTTCTCAACCCGGTGCTTCTCATCCCTTCTTGTAAAGTATAAAAATATAATAACATGAATTCCTTCTCTCTAGGGATGGGGTTCGATAGCCTTTTGTATCGAATCTGACTCCTTATATAATCTCAGGTTACCTTTAAGCATCTGTGGGTAATAAAATGTTAAAATAAAAGAAGGCGCCCGAGGCAGAAACACCAGTCTTTAATGCAGGGGTGTCAAACTCAATTTCATCGCGGGCCACGTTAGCGTTATGGCTGCACTCAAAGGGCCGGTTGTAACTTCAACACTATATATATATATATAAATATTTAATATATATAAAATAATGTGTCATATTACATTATTGCCTCTGCATTGGATTATTATCAGATAGGGTAATAATTAACTACGTCTGAAAGCAGAAGTCTAGGGCAAATAATTGCAAGTCTCTTCAGTGAGAATGTCACAAAATGATTTAAAACTAAAAGCCAAATTCTGGGAAAAAAGTCAAAAAAAAAAGGTGACATTTTGAAAAAAAGTGAAATTTTTAAATACAAGTAACATTAAAAAAAAAGAAGCCAAATTCTAAGAAAAGATGCAAATTTTGAAGAAAAAATTTGAGATGCATTGTGGGACATGTAGTTGGGCAACATGCTTCTTTAAATCGCCATGTAACCATATAATAAATATATTATATTCTTTCAGAGCTCTTCTGGGGCCACATGAAATGAAGTCGCGGGCCGGATTTGGCCCCCGGGCCTTGAGTTTGACCCCCCTGCTTTAATGGCAGCCTGTTGTATGACGTATCTGTTGTTTATCTGGTCTTTGTGAATTTGAATGAGGCTCATTGGCATCGATTTGTGCTAAATATCTGCATAAAACCTCGTTTAGTAAAAGCAGCATCTTCTTCTCACGATACAAACTTGACCTTCCTGAACTGCCGTTATTCTTAAAATCATACTCTGAGCGGCGTGCTGACCAAGTATTGACCATGAACCGCAAAAAAAACGGTTAGCAGCTAGCCAACCCCTTGGTTTACTTGCTCACATTTCCACCACTTTTAAGATTAAATTATGCATTTCTTTAGATTTCAATGCCAGAATTCAAGTTTGATGAGTTCCTGTCTCCATGCAGTCTGAGGAGGAGTGAGCAGGTGAAGGTAAGCTGTACGGAAATGTTATTCTTTCCTTAAATTTGTGTCTTAAATCATTTCAGACGGGTTCTTTGAGGCTAAAAAAAGGATCGATTCAAGGACCATGCTAAAAGTCTCGGCTTTCCTCTGAGTGTAAATGCAGTGATGGCTTTCCAAAGACCAGAAACAGCTTTCAAAGCAGCTGCAGGATTTGTCTAAACGTTATCCATTTAAAAATGAAAAGGCATAAAGAGAGACAAAAGGTAGAGATAAGAGATTCGTTAGCATTGTAGTAGCTTAGCAAATCTGGCTATCGGAGCCCATCCCCATCCCTAACCCTCACCTTACCTTAAGTTAAGTGACCTTATCTCACCTCACCTCACCTTAAGCTAAGTTACCTCATCTTCAGTTAAGTGACCTCACCTTAAGTTAAGTGACCTCACCTTAAGTTAAGTGACCTTATCTCACCTTACCTTAAGTTACCTCACCTTACCTTAAGTTAAGTTACCTCATTTTAAGTTAAGTTACCTTATCTCATCTTAAGTTAATTTACCTCACCTTAAGTGACCTTATCTCACCTCACCTTAAGTTAAGTTACCTCACCTCAGCTTAAGTTAAGTTACCTCATCTTAAATTAAGTTACCTTACCTTACCTCATCTTAAGTTAAGTTACCTCACCTTAGGCTCAGTTACCTCACCTCACCTTACCTCACCTTAGGCTAAGTTACCTCACCTCACCTTAAGTTAAGTTACCGCACCTTAGGCTAAGTTACCTCACCTCACCTTAAGTTACCTCACCTTATCTCACCTCACCTTACCTTAAGTTAAGTGACCTCCCCTCCCTGCCTCTGCTCTGGTGTCCTGTGTAGTGGATGGAGAACAGATCCTCAGCAGTTGCACCTGTCTCTGGATCAGTTTGACATGATAGTGACAACAGCCACCGTTTGTTTTTGGACGGCCTCCAAACCTTTTTTTTTTTTTTAACATTCCTCCTCCTCCTCCCATTTCCTCCCATTCTCTCCCTTCTCTTATCGGTAGGGGGGCTCTGGCTGTTGGGGGGGGGGTCTGTAAAGCTGCTGCAGTCTCACCGGCCTCCCGTTCGCAGGCCAGCCTCCCGGTAACTGTCCGATGACCCTTAACCCCACCGGCTGTCCGTGGTGTCCTGACATCACGCTGCTGGGGCTGAGGATCTGTCCCAGCAGGGGCTCAGGGGGGGGGTTGCTACTGGGAAAACATGGCGCTGAAGCAGGGGGAGAAACGGGATAATGTGGGAGGAGAATGGCCGGAGTTAACCCGTATCGAACCTGGAAAACTCTTAACGGTCCTTGAGCTACGAATCCATTCGGCCTCTGAGGATCCTGAAGATGCTCAGAGTCCTTCCTCACTTCCTCCTTCCTCACTTCCTGGATTTTGATTTGATCCTCCGCAGGTTTCTTTAACTTGAGGCTCTTCTTCCTCCCGACCTCCTGCATCTTCTCCGCTTGAGCCCGGCGGATGTGATACGTCTTCCTGGAGCTTTGGAAGGAGTCCAGGAACTCGTCCAGGCCCACGTTTCCCTCCATGAACTTCTCCAGAAGCTCCTGGGAAGAAGACACACACACACACACATCAGTGGGAGGGAATAACACAACAAAGAGAGGAGACGACCACATGACTTTATTCTGAGATTGAAAAAACTGTTTTTGTTTATATCATGTCTACTTCCTGTCGGTCTTCTTCTGTTGATTTATCTGACGTCCAGCCCTCTTTCCTTCTCTCCCTTGATCCTTGCTTACCCAGAAGCCTTTTAACTTGTTTTAGCACTTACCGGATTTACAATGTTGTTTTTAAACTATTCTGCATGGTTTTTATTAACCTGTTCTTCCAGTTACCACATTGTAGTACTACTTAAGGACAAAACTTAGTTTATGAATAATAATACTGATTGACAGGGCGTTTGTCCCTTAGGTAAAGTTGGATCTAAGGCTGCTAATAATCATGTGTCTTTAAATATAAGGATATTAAAAAAAGTCCTTAAGATGACACATAACATTTAAATACACGTCTGACCCGCAGTTCAAACCACCAACATATACTATTTCAGTCAGACAACTCACGTGTTTCTTTAACATGTTTATTAGAAGCAGCATATAGTTGAGTTCGGCGTCTAGGCTCGGGCCTCATCACTCCACAGATATACATAGCACCATGAGTGATGATTAAATAACTAACCCCCGAGCCTACAGGTGGAAGCTGGGGCGGTGGGGGGGGTGGTGGGGGGGCAGGCGAGCAGCAGCGACGTGGAGGTAGCTGCAGCAAGCAATGCATAGAGAGAGATCTGGCAGGTTAAATAGAGAACCGCAGTGACGCGTCCTAAAACCCGGAAGTAAACTTCTTCCGGTTCCTTAGGATTTTGGAAAATAGCTCGAAATAAGGTCTGTGGTTGAGACACATTTAAGAGATGTATCAGAGGCTAGATATAGAGCGGCACATTAAGGAGACTCTGTTTGGTTGGTTGTAGAGTGGCAAGGGGCGTTATGTATGAATGCAGCGTAAGTGCTCGAGTTGACTGCCTGAACTAGCTCGCAGGCTTCGCCCCATTTATTGTCACATCCGACAATTAAATAATCTTTCCACATGCAGCTTATTCTGCAATTGACTACTGCGCATACAAAAAGTGTTATTTAACAAGGGATTCTCCTGATAAAGTTAGATCTAGGGATGCAACTAAAGTAAACTTACTTTTAAATCCAGGCTGAAGACTTTTCTTTTTGACGCTGCTTTTAATCGAAACTGAGCGGTTGGGTTTCGTTTTTGGTTGATGAACATTTGGGGCTGGTAACCCCAGGGGATCCGTGTCTGGGGACTTTGTCCTGGCTGGTTTGCTCTGTGTATTCTGCTCGGGATGTGCCATACAAGCGTTCACAGCTCATGTTCGGAGAAACCTTAAAGAAAGGCATCAGTAAAGTGGAGCTTCTGTGTGAACTATTCACATCTTAAACTGCACTGTAACTTTTTATTCATGTACTTTTTATTTTATTGTTTATTTTATTATCTTTTCTTTTTAATGACTGTTTTGAAATGCCTTTGTCTGAATGTCTTTCATTTTTGTAAAGCACCTTGAATTGCCTTGTGTTGAAAGGTGCTATATGAATCAACGTGCCTTGCCTTGCCTAAAGGCCAATCTGGAGACATTTTCACAATAATACATTATCTGGTCTACAAAATGTCAGAAAATAATAAAAGGTCCATCGTAATGTCTATAAACCGCAGAAACTCCACAGAAAAGCACGAAAAATCCTCATATTTAAGAAATTGCACCACCCAACGGGAGGTCCGTCCGCGGGGAAGCGTTCAAAGAAACTACTCTAAGAATAAAAGAGGATTTAATTAGGTCGGGATGTTTCCCCGTGAACTTTGGCACAGTTTGTCCTCTATAATATTTCACTGTTAGTTCATCTTCAGAACAAAAGAGCCGTGTTGCAGCAACTGTTACTTTTGGCAGCGCTTGAAAGGCGAAGTGATGCAAGTCTGTTTGAGTTCCCATCGGATCGCAGGATAGGGACCGCACAGTAAGGGTTGAGTAGGATGTGGCTCTGGATGTTTAACAAACACTCCTGGATTACTTTAATAATGTTTCAACGACAAGAAATATAACTTAATGCCTCTAACTAAAAACATCCTTGTGTAAAATAGCTATTGAATATATTGAGATTTTATGTGTTGGCCAGTTTCCCAGGGAACGGCGGTTGATATAAAATGTATGTGTGAATGTTTGCAAACCCACTTAAAACATAGCAATGTATTTACTTGTATTTATTAACATTGCGGTTTAATGGTTTAATTACATTCTGAGGAATAGTGTGATGCTGTGTGTGTGTGTGTGTGTGTGTGTGTGTGTGTGTGTGTGTGTGTCCTATCATTACTATCCTTGTGGGGACCTACATCTGTTTACACAGTCACGTGTGGGGACTGGCTTCCCTTATGGGAACAAAATGGAGGTCCCCATGAGGGGAATCATTAATGTCAGGGTGAAGACTTGGTTAGGGTTAGGGTAAGGGTTAGGTTAAGGGTAAGGGTTAGGGTAAGGGTTAGGTTAAGGGTAAGGGTTAGGGTAAGGCATGTGTTGGTTGTGGTTAAGGTTAGGATAATTCTCCAGGAAATGCATGTAAGTCAATGTAATGTCCCCTGAAGTAATGTATACATGGTGTGTGTGTGTGAGTGTGTGTGTGTGTGTGTGTGTGTGTACTTCAGCAGTAAAGACACGCTTGGCTTTCTGCAGGAACCTGATTCGTGTTAAATAGGTTTCCATTATGGAGGAGAGAGGGATTAGAGAAACACATTTCAGCTGCTGAACCTGATTTCACGGTCCTGCATATTCACACAAACAGCTCCCTGTAACACGGCTTGTTTACCTGAACAAACAGGACAGACTTTGTTCAGGTAAAGGGTGAGAACAGTTTGTCAGGATGAAAGGAAACACCTGTGTGCATAGATGTATTTCTGATCAGTTTCAAGCAGTCTTGATAAAAGTTCAAGTAAAGCTCTAAAAGTCAAATGTTGATGGTTTTCAGGTTAATATTTGTAGAACTTGGACAAATGTATACTGTAAGTAAACACTGTATGCTTTCCTGACAGTGCTGCCAGTACAGATGCTTAAAAAAACTAATAAAATACATGTTTTAATGGTGTAATAAATGAAGAATCTCCAGCAGAAATTCAACCGAATATCTTTGTGTGGTAATAATTAAACTGAGCAGTTTTTGGAACAAGTTATTTTTCTATGCCTAAATGATTGACTTTCTATTATTGGATAATCTTTTCACATCCAGTTAGATCTTCAATTGAATACTTTGAATGAATATAACTATTACAACATTGATTTACCTGATAGAGTAAGATCTAGGGATTCACCTTAAGGCTACATTTGTGAACATTTTCTCAAATTATTGATTATTTGCTCGACAAAATGTCAGAAAATAGAAAACTCAAACAAATGTTTATTTTCTAAGACAAAAATGCTGGAATCATCAAATGTTGGGCATTTTGCTTTAAAGAAAAGTCTGAGCTGAATATTGGATTGTTTAAAGAGTTGACAGTTGTTTTGATCGATGGTCTCTGATCTAAATGTGTATCCGATGTCCCCGCTGACCTGATTTTCTCCCGCTGACCTGGTTCCTCCTCTCTGACGGACGCAGTGTGAACTCATTGACCTGCTGTTCATTAACGAGGACTCAGAGAGGATGTTTCCCACAGCAGTGACAAACGCCAGTGTTGTTTAAAGATATCTAGAAAAGTCCTGAAACAGGGATATATATATATATATATATATATAACGATTGATTAATTGGAGAGGAAAACCAACAAATGACAGTTTGTCTCTTTACACTGACATCCCCACCTTGTGTAAAGCCCATTCATTCAGCAGAAGCTACACAACTTTAACATATATATACAATTAAAAACTATATATGTGTGACCTGTATTTAAGGACTAGCTGACCACTCTAGTTCTTTAGCCAATCAAACAGTAGTAAATACTCAATTTAGGGACTATTTTCAGCTGCGGATTGATACACACAGCATGATATATGTTGGATTTACTTAAAATAAACTACAAGCCATAAAAGGAACATATCACCCAGTGCAAAAAACGATGAACTTGTAATATTTTTTGGACTATAATGGAGCTTTTTGGTGTAAGATATCATGCTTTGGATACACATACAACCCCTATTAATACAGACATACAAACCTTAAGTCAGTTTTAATGCTAAATCTGAGAATAAATGTTCCTTTTTCCCGTTTCCCTAAACAGACGCTTTCTTACAAGTTTTGCTAAGACTGAGAAAAATAATGAAAATCCCACATTTGTCAGTTTTAGACGTTAAACCACATGTTTATTAATTCATTAACAGTCGCTTACCACCGGTCAACCCTATGGTGTGGTTGGTGTTTTTGGTTTATTACACACCCCCCCCCCAGCCCCTAAATCTCACCCCCCTGCTGTGTCTTGAGAGGTTCTCCATCTGGTGTGGAGGACCACGTTAAATAACCTCAGGTCGCAGGGACTGTTATTTGCCTTTCTGCCAAAATACAACAGCTGCTGTAACAGGAAAGCTCATTTAACTTGAATGTACACAGTGTGTGTGTGTGTGTGTGTGTGTGTGTGTGTGTGTGTGTGTGTGTGTGTGTGTGTGTGTGTGTGTGTGTGGACAGTAATCTTAAGAGTAATGTTCATACACCAAATGATGAGTGTCGAGTAAAGACAGATGAATATTTGATTACTGTTTCAGATTAATATTTCATTTAAGACCAAAATGAACTCGTCGCTGCTGATTTTTTGCCAATTTTCACTTGTTTTAATAACAAGTGTTTTATGAAAGAGACTAAAATGGCAGATGTAACGAGAGGGAAAATGAATAGTAGTACAATTGGATGATTGATTAGTCCGTTGGATAATGTTGTGATTCCAGCTTTTTAAATGCACTTTTGTCTTTGTATTTGTTTTGTCTTTAAACACCTGAATATATCTGGGTTTCTTACAATTATTCAGATATTTACACACAAACAATTTATGATTTTATTAATGAATCTGCAAAATAAGTACAGGAATGCCCCCCTAAATGTATCAGAAAGAAATCAAACCTATCAATCAGTCGTCCAAGTTACTTTGGACGTTGTGTTTAATCCATAGAAAAGGGTTTAATTATGTCATAGTTTTTACAAAAGTACACATTTATTTAGTTATAACTGAGTTTATTTGATCAGATAATGTCAAAAACGATATCATATTTAACTGATAATTAGTATTTACTTATATTTGAAGTACTCTCTACTTTCTCAGTTTACTTTTTATTGCAGTAAATTGATCCTTGATATTATAGAAGAGAAAAAGAGAAGTCTGGAGGAAACAGCAAGCTTTCTGCAGGAGAATCGTTCATCATTAAATCATAAGTACAGGGTTTTTTTTTGTGCATGACAAAAAGCACGACGGGGGGAAAAGATCATTTTGGCAGAAGAGCAGGCCTGACAAAATAATTTCCCTTTTGGCTTCAACCCGACAGTTTAAATGCATAATAATCAGCAGGGAAAATAAATCTGTGACTGGAGTTAAAACCCAAAAAACGCTCTGCCCTCGGCTCAGCAGATACTGTATCTGTACCCAGTCAAAACAAGCTCTCTTTAAAAGGCTGGAGGGACATTTGTACGACTGCAGACTCATACGATGACGACAACACGTCAGATATCTGTTTTCATGTTGGTACCTGATGAGGAATCTTAACAAGAGAGCATGTTTGACTTTAGGCCACAGAAGGAGAAGCTTGTCTGACATTGAGGCCAAAAAAAAAGGGGAAGCGTGCTTTACAAGATTGTCACGGTTGCAGTTCTGGGATTACATCTCAATTCTGAAAGATGTTTTGGAAACGGCTGCATTTTTCGTGGAACTATCTACAAAAATCAGGACGTTTTTTGTCCACTGAAGCAAAGCCCCTCTGAGCGCCGAATCCCAAACAAGATCAGAAGACAAGATATATCTTCGTATTGATTCAGGTCTTCTAAATTAAACATAGAGCTCTGGTAAGGCGTACATATATTCTAAACTCTTTGTGTATTTATCCGGAAAATCGAAGGCGAAGATATAGCACACCTGAGGCAAACATTTACTGATGTGTGAGACTAATAAACAAATGTACCGAGGCGGAGAGAGGCTGTTCGGCATGAGCCGGGTGTTGCTTAATCAATCAGTGGGACAGCAGCTTTAATGACTGAGTCATGGAGGTATTGATCAGAGCCTTTGAGGCGGGGGAGGTGATCTGCTGAGAGGACCAATCCCAGCCTGAAGCAGCCGTGTGGGTTTCATCTGGGAAAGAGACTCCTCTGCTGTCCAGATTAAAGGCTAAAAGAAAACAAAGGACTTAAAAAGGACTGTGTGCACCATGTTGACAAAAGAGTTTTTTATTATAAGGGACTGTAATATTATCATGTTCAGGTGTATATCAGTATGTAGTGTCTCTACTTTAAAGAGTCCTCTCCTGCTGATGTTCAGGTGTATATCAGTATGTAGTGTCTCTACTTTAAAGAGTCCTCTCCTGCTGATGTTCAGGTGTATATCAGTATGTAGTGTCTCTACTTTAAAGAGTCCTCTCCTGCTGATGTTCAGGTGTATATCAGTATGTAGTGTCTCTACTTTAAAGAGTCCTCTCCTGCTGATGTTCAGGTGTATATCAGTATGTAGTGTCTCTACTTTAAAGAGTCCTCTCCTGCTGATGTTCAGGTGTATATCAGTATGTAGTGTCTCTACTTTAAAGAGTCCTCTCCTGCTGATGTTCAGGTGTATATCAGTATGTAGTGTCTCTACTTTAAAGAGTCATGTTCAGGTGTATATCAGTATGTAGTGTCTCTACTTTAAAGAGTCATGTTCAGGTGTATATCAGTATGTAGTGTCTCTACTTTAAAGAGTCCTCTCCTCCTGATGTTCAGGTGTATATCAGTATGTAGTGTCTATACTTTAAAGAGTCCTCTCCTGCTGATGTTCAGGTGTATATCAGTATGTAGTGTCTCTACTTTAAAGAGTCCTCTCCTGCTGATGTTCAGGTGTATATCAGTATGTAGTGTCTCTACTTTAAAGAGTCCTCTCCTGCTGATGTTCAGGTGTATATCAGTATGTAGTGTCTCTACTTTAAAGAGTCCTCTCCTGCTGATGTTCAGGTGTATATCAGTATGTAGTGTCTCGACTTTAAAGAGTCCTCTCCTGCTGATGTTCAGGTGTATATCAGTATGTAGTGTCTCTACTTTAAAGAGTCCTCTCCTGCTGATGTTCAGTTGTATATCAGTATGTAGTGTCTCTACTTTAAAGAGTCCTCTCCTGCTGATGTTCAGGTGTATATCAGTATGTAGTGTCTCTACTTTAAAGAGTCCTCTCCTGCTGATGTTCAGGTGTATATCAGTATGTAGTGTCTCTACTTTAAAGAGTCCTCTCCTGCTGATGTTCAGGTGTATATCAGTATGTAGTGTCTCTACTTTAAAGAGTCCTCTCCTGCTGATGTTCAGGTGTATATCAGTATGTAATGTATCTACTTTAAAGAGTCCTCTCCTGCTGATGTTCAGGTGTATATCAGTATGTAGTGTCTCGACTTTAAAGAGTCCTCTCCTGCTGATGTTCAGGTGTATATCAGTATGTAGTGTCTCTACTTTAAAGAGTCCTCTCCTGCTGATGTTCAGGTGTATATCAGTATGTAGTGTCTCTACTTTAAAGAGTCCTCTCCTGCTGATGTTCAGGTGTATATCAGTATGTAATGTATCTACTTTAAAGAGTCCTCTCCTGCTGACACTTTTATACAACGACACCTCAATTTCTAGATCTTGCTGTTCTGAATTGGTATTTTCATGGTTTATGTGCTTATGTTAGTTGCATTGGATAAAACTATTGGCCAAATGAAATGTAATTTAATGCATTGTTCAGATAAACACAGGTCAGGAAAGAAAACCCCCAGAAAAACCGATAATCCAGACACAAACATGTCTTACATTATTTTAAGAGATACTTGCTGGAAGAACATTGCTTCATACCCTTAAAAAACCCCACCATTGTGTAGTCAGATGCAGAGAACAGTTGCTAGATACAGCTTGTACCAAAACCCTTAAGGTGTCAAATGTAAATGTAGGATTGTGAGAACACGTGTACATCATGTGGAGGGATTTGTGCAGAGGTTGTGATGGTGGGAGTGGGTTGAGCTGCTCTCAGATGTTGGACAGCCTCACTGCAGGCTTTCTAAAACCCTGTGCTGCCAGAGTGATGAAACACAGTTTGAGTCTGTTGGGGAAAATACTGAATGTCCTCTTCCAATATGAGAGTAACATGATAACGAAGGTATCCCAACTGTAGCTGTGTACAGACAGGATGTATGATTACCTAGAAGAGCATCAGGACTGTTTGAGGCATATGATAGCTATGTGATTAACATGATGATTCAGCCTCTATGGAGATAGACATATGACAAGCATGCTCATTTCTGACGTGGAGCTAATCTGAAGTAAACATTGAATACTGCTTTCTATTCCTCCATCTTGTGACTGTGTAACTCCCTCTCTTGGATATCAGCATGTGAAGGACACTGTTCAGGAACTAGTTGATGCTCTGTATGTGATGACTACTTCCATTCTGGAGAGGATCACAAATACATGGATCCTGAGATTGAAGCTCAAGCCGGGGACCAGGGATTATTATTATTTTTAAGTATTCAGAAAAAGTCAGAATTTTGAGAAAAAGTCTGATTTTTTAGAAAAAGTCTGAATTTTTAGATCTTTGAGAAAAAGTCAGATTTTTTTTATTTTTGAGAAAAAGTCAGAATTTTGAGAAAAAGTCAGAATTTTGAGAATTTTGTACATGACAGGATGTACTGCTTTCTATTCCTCCATCTTGTGACTGTGTAACTCCCTCTCTTGGATATCAGCATGTGAAGGACACTGTTCAGGAACTAGTTGATGCTCTGGATGTGATGACTACTTCCATTCTGGAGAGGATCACAAATACATGGATCCTGAGATTGAAGCTCAAACTCGACCAGTGAGATTTTTCTAACAATTCTCCAAGAACAAGAGCTCCACATTAGGAGTGTTTTAATAGTGTTTTTTTTACCTCTGACTGCTCCTCCTCTCGGTCCACTTCTTCCTGCAGGAGGTTCTGCGCCGACTGCAGGCTGAGCTTCTGGCCACGGGTTCCTGCAAAGAGACAAGAGGAAGATGAGGCACTAGGAAGATGAGGCACTAGGAAGATGAGGCACGAGGAAGATGAGGCACTGGAAAGAGAGAATCCAGTAAACAGGAAACCGCAGCAGAGAAAATGATTTTCCGAATTACAAAGAGCCTTGAGGGCATGTGCTGACGAGGAGACGTTGGGGATGGGACGGACAGTTGTTGGCTAGAAAATAAGGGGCAAAGAGGGGTTGTGAATATTAAACTTTAAGCTATTCTTAGTTCGGTTTGACCACGAAACTGAAGTCTCATTTTTGAATGAATTATCCAAGCTCTCGTTCACATCCTCAACAGGAATCCCCGAGAGCTCATGTTCACACACAAATCCTTTGTTTGAATTATTTATCTTCATGTCAATATGATAAAAAATTCAACGAGCCTTCACAAATAGATTGCGGCAAGCAGCTCTCAAATATGCATCAAACATAATCTTCCAGAGGAGATTCAAACAAGACAAGAATCAGCATTACATGAGGATAAAGAAAGCAGTGTTTTGGTAATGTGATGCATTTGGTCAGCAAACTGTCAGATGACATTGGTGCTCAGTTATGGAAGCTTTCAAGGTACATTTTTAACTGTTTACCCTTTATTTTCTCTTGTTAATACAAAACAGAATGGTAGCCAGAACTACCAAAAGAAGAAATCTGTCGAACCTTAGAATTCCATTTAGTGTGGTTTTCACTTTGCAAGATCATCAATATCTTAGTTTTCCATCAGGCTTAAACACCCATACATCTGCTCATACACAGAAAAATAAGCTCTTATATCCCAAGTGTTTGATATTTATTCGGTATCAAAGTGTTTCAATGTTAATGCACGGGTACAATGCAGACAGGAAGTGATAATAGCCCTTTTGGTGCCAAGTTTTAAAAATGCAACCAAATATCGTTTTTTTCTTCAGTTTTATTGCATATTTTCTTTCCTATAAGCTGACCTCTAATCAATAATGTTTTTTTATATTCATCCCCTACACTGTGGAACAGCCTCCCATTGGATCTTACAGGAGAACAGCAACCTCAATTGGCATTTTTAAAAGTAAATTAAAGACCTATCTGTTTAAATGTGGCTTATAATTTGGGGGCAATTGTAATATTTTTAGTAGTGTGGGGGAAACTTCTGTGTAGCAATGCAGGAGGAGTCACCGACTCATGAAGGAGACACGAGGAGAGCTGGAGCTTTGATGGCAAACACTGACGGGTTTATTTAGGAGCCTCGGCCGGAGAATTCACAAAACAAGTCAAAGAGTCAGAGGTTCTGACTTCACGGGAGAGTTGCCACGTCAATTCTGAAGAACTCTACCCCAGACCCGTGTGTTTAGTTCTGAGAGAATAATCAACATTGAGCAGAACAAGATAGAACCATAACACCTCTATCAGCTGACGCCAACAGGCAGGAGCATAGAACCATAACACCTCTATCAGCTGATCCAACAGGCAGGAACATAGAACCATAACACCTCTATCAGCTGACGCCAACAGGCAGGAACATAGAACCATAACACCTCTATCAGCTGACGCCAACAGGCAGGAACATAGAACCATAACACCTCTATCAGCTGACGCCAACAGGCAGGAACATAGAACCATAACACCTCTATCAGCTGACACCAACAGGCAGGAACATAGAACCATAACACCTCTATCAGCTGACGCCAACAGGCAGGAACATAGAACCATAACACCTCTATCAGCTGACGCCAACAGGCAGGAACATAGAACCATAACACCTCTATCAGCTGACACCAACAGGCAGGAACATAGAACCATAACACCTCTATCAGCTGACGCCAACAGGCAGGAACATAGAACCATAACACCTCTATCAGCTGACGCCAACAGGCAGGAACATAGAACCATAACACCTCTATCAGCTGACGCCAACAGGCAGGAACATAGAACCATAACACCTCTATCAGCTGACGCCAACAGGCAGGAACAGGGAGACAGAACACAGAGCACAGCAGCCAAGGTTACAGGTGCCTGTGCTCAGTCAGGACAGTATGAACTGATACACTGGGTCAAAGTGCAGATCACTGCACTGGTACAAACTCATCTATACCACTATGCTTGGACTGCTGCCCCTCTACATATCCACTTACATATCACACAAACAGTACATCTATAGCCTACCATCTCAACATTACATCACTCTGTCCGTCCCCTCAGTTCGCACGGTGCTTGGGAAAAAAGCCATATCATACTCTGCCCCCTCGACCTGGAACACACTTCAGCAGGAACTTAAGCTGACCACTTTGATACCCATCACGGATTTTAAACTAATTTTAAAAAAGCTGGAGAAATCATCTGTGGGTGTTTGCACCTGCTTTATCTGAATACTGTATATGGATTTCAATGACTACTTTTTTACGGTGTTGTATTTTAGTGTTGCCTCTGTGTTTAGTGTCCTGTCTGTCTGTAACTTTGTGTGGTAGTGTTACCACTGACAGGTCTCTCTTGAAAATGAGACCTTGTGTCTCAATGAGATTTTACACCTGTATAAATAAAGGCTAAATAAAAAAAAATAAAAAAATAAAGTTATGGGCTTTGGAAAATATTTCTCCAACAAGTAGTATCACTGTTCATGTTTTATTGTTTTATTGTTTTATGGTTCAGTGATATAACTTTCTGTTTGTTTATACCTAGTTTTTAATGATGTTCCTCACTTTGTATTGTCATTGTCTGTGGTACTCTGTAAAGCACTTTGGGCTGCCTCAAGTATGAAAGGTGCTATATAAATAAAGTGTATTATTACTTATGTCTGCTCTCGTGCTGCTGACACCTTATTTCCCCTCTGAGGATCATTAAAGTGTATCTAATCTAAAAACAAACTGAGCTCAAGTAGCAGCCACTAGCTTGCTTATTTGATCATAAACACATAGTTATATAGACTCTTCTTGCAATATTTCATTTGTATTTCATGCACATCTCCAAACATTATCTTGCCCTATTGTATCTGTTTTATTAGTTTGATGTCCTATATATATTCATGCTGCTCTGTTGGAGGAGCCTGTGACTTCAGTGTGTCATTGCCATATCTACACTGAAGCTACTGTGTGTGTTTATCAAGATTCAAGGCTTTATTGTCAAACTAAATGACCCTTCCTTACACACAGGAATGTTTACATACGAGGAGCCCCTCTAATGCAAAGTGACGAGCAACAGTTAGAGGCAGTAAAGGCTGCAGCCGGCTATATAAATTGAGTTGCAGCGTGTCATTCGCAGCATGTGTTTCCCTCCTGGGGATCGTGGTATGTGTTCATTGTGACCCAGAGTGTGTGTGTCGCTGCTGGAGACAGTGTGACAGCTCTGAATGGATTTAGCAGAGACTGGGGGGGGCAAACAAAGGTCAGAGAAATGACTCTAATAACGCTAAGCCTCCGAGGGAAAATCTGTGCAGAGAGAGAGAGAGAGAGATAAACACCGTGAGCAGGCAGATGTACGTCTGGTTTCTGCCTGCTACTGTCACTACAGCGCCAATACATAGATATTTAGCTTGTATTTAAGGTGCCAACATCTTTTAGTTTGAACAGATTTGCCTGTGGAGAATGAGATTGTGATGTTAACTTGAACTACTAGCATCACAAATTAAAACACAATGAGCAAATAAAGCCCAGAGTATAATCTGGTGGATGATTTAACATTGTAACTGCATTTTACTTGTGTTGACAGGATATTAATTAGGATTTAAGTCATTTATATTTCACATTCATTTCAAACATGGTGTGCAGGCAGCTGTAGGTCTGGTTTCTCCCTTCTACCGTCACTACAGCGCCAATACATATTATATTTAGCTTGTATGAATGTAATTTATGGTGCCAACATCTTTTAGTTTGAACAGATTTGCCTGTGGAGAATGAGATATTGCTGTTAACCAGAGGTGGGACCAAGTCATTGTTTTGCAAGTCCGAGTCAAGTCTCAAGTCTTTGCGCTCAAGTCCGAGTCAAGTCTCAAGTCTTTGCGCTCAAGTCCAAGTCAAGTCTCAAGTCAGGATGGGCAAGTTCAAGTCAAGTCCAAGTCCTAAACTTTGACAAAACGAGTCTTAAACAAGTCATTATGTGCTTTTCAACAAATGTAATGACATCGATCAGAATAATACTTAATAATCAAACTGCTCTTTATTAGTCACATTAATCATTTAATAATCCATTTTCTCTCTGCTGGTAAAGTAACGTGTTTTCTTCTATTGTAAGAGGGATCAGTAAGGTAAGGCTACCGTGACGGTTTGATTCAGAAGGAGTTTAATGTATAAGATCCCTGATGTTAAGGTATCCAGAATGTTTATTTCCACTGTGTTCAACATGTTATAAGGGACCCACAATCTATCTTTATGCAAGGGATAATGTGCAGCGAGGCGTCTCTATGGGGAAAAGAACACCTGCATCTAGATCCCTCTGCAGGTGGTACTTTAACTGTATTTTGATGATAATACTTTTCTACTTTTACTTGAGTAACATTTTGAATGCAGGACTTTTTATTGCAACGAGTATTCCTACACACAGGTACTTTTACTCAAGTACAAGATCTGAACTTCTCCCACCTCTGGCAATAAATCCTGAGTGGTTACCAAAAAAAAACCCTGCTCTGAAGGTTATTTTCATTTTACAAATCCTGCACTCAGCTCTGCTTTCTCCAATATCACTGAAATGCAGCCAGATGCTGCTTCTTTTTTCGGTTTTCGCAAATTTCTTGACTTTTTCCGACGCGCTTGCATTTAAATCCGGCTCCCCGTCTCCCCGTGGCTCTGTAGCTGGCCTGTACCACTACACCTGCTGTCTTTGGAGCGTCTGCCCCCCACCCTTCTTTCACATAATGGTATGATCCTAGTGTGTCCTCGCATATGATTGGCCGCATGGTGGCTCAGCAAAATAAAGTCCCGCCCCTGCCTGCATGGATTCACAGCAAGAGTTGCAGCGGCTGAAGATTCTGCTCTCCCCGACGGGAGTCTGCTCTTCTAAAGGCCCCTACAC